TTGTCAAGTCATATAAGACAGCCGTTAATTTCAGGATAATAAAATGACCCCAGATTTATCAATCGAAAACGCCTTAAGTGACAATTTGACTATGCCTATGCTTTCAGCTTTGTATTCCCTTTTATTATCGCTGTGTGTTCGAAACACCTTTTTCGAAATAGCTGTTTCGGGTACAGAAAAGAGTCGCACAGAACCATGGGTAATAAGTACGGTGCCCTGTCGTTGAGTTTTTTGCCAAAAACTTTTCTATAATGACGGCCTTATACTATTACAGAGCACTCACAATGATATTCGCAAAAACAGCTGATGTTATACAACAATATATGCCCAATTTTTAAATAAAATCTGGATACTTTTTACACGAAAGTCTCTTCGTTAAATCTTTGACGAAGATTAAATCTAAGTCATACGGGTAAATTAACATTTTTGAGTATACAAAAAAATATTATGCATATGTTTTGAAATATTAAACATTTGATTTTAGTTGTAATAACCAAAACGATTATTTCTAGTACAATAGTGCACTGCAGTCTATAAAATCTATCGTACTCTTCATATAGATATACTACTAGAAATTACTGGATGTGCTACTTGTATAAATGTTATGAGGTGTCCTTAACCCCTAACCACGTCTGGTTCAAACTTTTAAAACTATCTATATATAATATCTAGATTTAAGTAAGATTTCAATTTAGATGTTGCATAAATCAGATAACGGAATGTTTAGTTTCCTACTTTTACTTTCATACAGACCATGATATCACTAATATAAAACACTATATAATGTAATATATCTTTGACATATAATTAAGGCCTATAAATGTATATACCTTCCACTCCGAATTTTGTTGGTTGTTAACTACTCCTTAAGTAATAGACCTTTTTCAAAAATTCTTTTTTATGTTGGTACACCCTTTCTTGACATATGGTATAAATTTGAGCGCCATCTGTCAATTAGTTTGTTTACAGCAGCTGTTAATGTGAGACTACCTCAAGTGCATTTAGCGATTTTTACTATGGAAAATTCTTGTTGTACCACTGTCATCGCTCAGGCACCATATTCGCTAGATCTGGCGCCGTTCGACTTTTTCCTGTTCTCGATTTCCTGTTCAAATTGTCTCTTCGTGGTAAGCGTTTTGAGTCGATTGGATCGGTAAAAGAGAATGCGCTGAAGGAACTAAAACCCATACCTGCACGGGCCTACGAAAAGTGTATGGAAGATTGGGTTAACCGTTGACATATGTGTATTGCTTCAGAAGGAGCATATTTTGAAGGAGATAAAATAAATTTGTAATAAAATTTAAATATGTGTGTTTAATTTACAAAATCCGGGTACTTTTTGAGCTGGAGGCATGTACCTATGCATATGTATATTGACAGAATAATAATTTGAAATAATTTGTAAGGTTCAGAATATCAATAATTATTATTATTATTATCACATTTTTTTACAACATTGAACCACTTATTTCACCTTTCTTAAAATTTTTCAAAATTTCAAGAATGCACTTCAATTTCTTGCTACTACTCGTTACTCAAGTGCAAAGCTCATCGATTTAATGCTTCTTCGAAGTTTAACGCAATTTGGTTCTTCTGAACTCTAACGTCTTGCTTTTCTGTTGCAATTCCTTGCATATTTGTTCAATCTTTGAAATCCTTCGATAAGGAAAACGCTAAGGATATTGAATAAATGATTTTGTTGACGATAAGTGCATTGAAGGCAAGTAAAATGCAAAAGCTGTTGTCGTAACATAAGATTGATGATAATAATTCACTATTGCAAGGACACTTCAGGATAACAGCATGAATAGTTGACTAATAGATGAGCATTCGCATATATTTATAGTTCCTAAATGTCTGCATACAATTTTAAACTCATCCATTTATATGCACTCTCCTTAAACACGTGTAGCTAATGGTGTAGCATTTTTAAGAAATAATGAATATTATAGTTTGAAAAATAGAAGCAAAAATGACTACGCATTTTAAATATTCTTCATATATCTTAACACTAAAATTCAATTGATTTCAATTTAATTTTTAAAGTTAATTATCACAAAAGGAAACTGCTTTCAAATCTATCAAAACAAAGGTTTTATTTTTTAATCAACTGAAAGTTTTGGCTGGCTATACAGCTGTTTCGAGCATTCGCAAATATTCATCATTAGTGATCCCTGGAAATATTCATTGGTTTTTTAAGTCGGTATATAATTGTTGGATTGTAAATGCCAGCCTTAGAAATTTGTACCTGCAAAATTTGAAGCAATATTTAGACTTGTGTAACTTTTTAATTAGAAAAAGCTTATAAGTCACACCTTACAGATTTTGGACTACTATCAACTATTATTATACCTTCTGCTCAAAAAGGACCCGGATTTTGTAAATTAAATACACATATTTAAATTTTATTACAAATTTATTTTATCCCCTTCAAAATATGCTCCTACTGAAGCAATACACATATGGCAACGCTTAACCCAATCTTCCATACACTTTTCGTAGGCCCGTGCAGGTATGGCTTTTAGTGTCTTCAGCGCATTCTCTTTTACCGATTCAAGCGACTCAAAACGCTTACCACGAAGGGGCTATTTGAACAGGAAATCGGGAACAGGAAAAAGTTGCACGGCGCCAGATCTGGGAAATGTGGTGCCTGAGCGATGACAGTGGTGTCGTGTTTGGTCAAAAATCGCGTACAACAAGAATTTTCCATAGTAAAATCGCTAAATGCACTTGAGGTAGTCTCACATTAACAACTGCTGTAAACAAACTAATTGACAGATGGCGCTCAAATTTGTACCATATGTCAAGAAAGAGTGTACCAACATAACAAAAAAAAATTAAGGAGTAGTTAATAAACACAAAATCCGAATACTTTTTGAGCAAAAGGTGTCTTTAGTTTCTAAAGCTTCAATACTATTCTTTTTGTATAGACGTTATTTATTATATTTTTTTACATTCTGTTTTTCTGTACATAAATATCAGTTTTCAATTTTTCATGGAAAATGCTTTATATTAGTCTTGAAGATATTAGATCTTGATTATACAAAAGTAAATTAATTTTTAATATATAATAACATAATCACCAAAGTGATTAAAATGTGAATAACTATTCATAACAAATTCGAGCATTTAGATGAATTAGTCGCAAGCTTGTAATACTTTGCTTGCGTTATAGCTCACATATTCACACTATCTGATTTAGACATTTGCTCATTTATATTAATGAAGAAAAGTTCACATTATAATAAGCTCATTTATGCAGCTGACATAACTTTTATAAACTTTATAAACTTAATAAATCATACAAAAAAGTTAAATGTATAATTGTTATATTAAGTTATTTATATACATTTATATACATATTTAATTAATAAAAAAGATTTTATTAAATATTTACTTCAATGCCTTTGTTTACAGATCAGCTGTTGTTTGCTTACATTTCACATACGAACTATAGACAAATATTTCAACTTTTGCTAATTTCCCTTTTGGGAAATTAAAAGAGCAGATTTATTGATAATGACGTCATTTATATGAAAGATTTTTGTGTGGTAAATTATCCTCATTAGTGATCCTCATTATAATGTGCAAAACTGCCTTAATGAGACAGTGTGAAAGTGCTATTAATTAATTGTATTTGTCAGAATTATTTAAAGGAATGCAACGATGATATTCTATACCTACTGTTAGCTTTAGAAGTATTATAAGAAATGGGATTTCTATACTTTTTATTTGAATCAGGAATGTTATGAGAAATTCTTTATAAGCCTCATATATCAGGTTTATAATTTAGATATATTAAAATGTATTCATGCTGAGCTTTCCATAATTGATATTTAAATTAGACGTAAGAGAAATTCGTCGTTAACTATTCATACCTTGTTTTTAAATCAGATATACTTAGAAGTGTTCTTCATAACATTTATATACTTCGTATCTAAATTAAAGGTATTAAAGGAAATATTTTAAATTTCAAAAACGTGCGTTCATACATTAGTAGCAAATGTATTTTGAGTTAAAAATACGTAGACAAATTCATAGCAGTTTTTCTATATCATATGTTGAAGTTAAAAATTTAAAAACTGTTAATAGGATAAGTTAAAATATTCTACTATGACTAGACTAATTTTCATCTTATCATTCTTTCTTTAACATTGCCAAATAGGATTATATATATACTATATATACACTGGAATAATTTCATATATGATTGATAACATAACGTGTGGCACTGCGGTCTGGCAGATTTGGCTTTATCTGAAATTGTTTGTTATTGTTTGTTTGTTTGACTTCTTTATTTTATATATTACTGAATGATATTCTCGACATTGTCAACCAGCAACCTGTCCTTGACATCGCAAAAAATCTGTAGAAATGACGTACCCGGTAAACTGTAGTCTGTCTGTTTCGTATATGCATAATAGGATTTTGTTATTTAAGAGAGCTAAAGAAATATTAAATAATGTGTACCTTGGTTCACGATTAAATTTTTATATAAATCTTTGACATATTTTTTCAAATGTGGTCAACCGAAAGGTCTACAACGTCGGGAACCTTTCACTATATATTCGAGTATAATCTACTAACATTTATTGCTGTCTTTTGTAATTTTAGTTTTACGTTTTTGTTATTGCATATAATGGTACTGAGTCATAGTAATAGCCGTTATATTCGGTTTATACTTACAATCTCATATTTCTTTAAATATAAATACATAAAAATGGAAACACACTCCTTTATTTCCATTTTCAACGAAACAATGTTGTTAGTAAAAATAGCTGTCAATATTAAAATTTTATTCTACAGCACTATTTCCAAATATTTTCGCTGTAAATCATCTAGTAATGGTTGTAGCAAAATTTTTCGGCTATCGTATGAATGACATGAATATATATTAATTCTAACTAATTTCTAACTAATTTAAAAGAATTATTAATTATTACTATTAAAAATGCTCCTCTTATATTTCAAAAAAAAATAGTTATGAATAAAAGCAAAAATTCACATATAATTTTTTATTTAAAATTTTGTTCCTAAAACTATTTTTTTATATAAAAAACTTAATTCTAATAAATCATCACAGCAGGTAAATAGTCCAATAACCCCACCATGTCCTCCATGAACAAAATTAAGATACTTAATTAAAATTTCAATTGAGTCCAGCTACCAAAACAGGACACACTGCATGGAATTCGTATTAGGAAAAATATTGATCATCTACAATGATGCTTTTTTTTCGATTTTTCCCCCTAAATTTTAAATTTGATTTACTAGTTAATGACTAAATTTAAAAGTTACCATCTTTTCGAATTTTGGATTTAAAAATCGGGGACTTGAAGCACATTTCCCTTAAACTAGCAATGAGTTAACGTATCCAAATTCAAGTACACGGCTAACGCTTTCAATTCAATAACGTAGTCCTTTTAGTATTAGAACTCGGCTAACGTTTTCAATTCAACAACGTAGTCCTTTTAGTATTAGAACACGGCTAACGCATTCAAGTCATCAGCAAACCGCCTTCAGTTCCAAGTACTCGACAACAACGAAGTTCCTTAAGTATCAAGTATAAAGGTGGGATGTTAGACCTTTCGACATGTCCATTGGTATGTCAAATTAATTTTTGTCACATCTAGTAGTTGAAGAGCAAATAATTTTCACTAAATTGTTGGATAAAAAGATACATTTAGACGCCGAAATCATTTACTTAATTGCTTTTTAATTAAATATATATTATACCTCTTTCCATTATATCCCTTCAAGTATTTAAATCAAATGACGGAGATCTAAGAGAAAAGAAGGCATTTGATTTGTTTTAAATATTTTATATTAATTAATATATTAATATATTTTTATATTATGCAATATAATATTATTTTATATGCAATACATATGCACCAAAATTTAGTTATCCAAATTGACAGTTATCCAAATTGATTTAGCTTAATTTGGAAGATATCGGGTCTGAAAGTGGTAAATGCCTACAAAATTGCTTAGATTAAATTTAAGTATTAGTTGCCGCTAGTGTTGTTTGTATAATGTACATATTATCTTAGAAGAAAGATTTGCTCAGAATGGTTATAAAATTAAAGTGGGTAAGAAATCGTAAGCGATGAATATCGTTTGTGTATTGAGGTAACTTGATTGAATATGTGGAAAAAGAAACTATAGAACGAATAAAAGAATTAATCTTACCTTATATGTTATTTCGTATATAACAAGAGTCGACACCAAGCATATTTTCCAGCTGCGTTAAGTGTATAAGTCAGTGAATTCCGAAATATTCCTTGACTAAACCATGGGCCTTAACAATGCAATTTGTCTAATATAAAATAGTTTGATAAGACACGTTTATATGTGTATATCATGAAAAGAAAGAATTTTAATATTTCAATTGTTGGGTTTTTATTGGTACCTTACCAGTTTTCAAACTATTCTAGTTCTCGGATTTTGATTATACGGCAGTCTTTCACTCTTGATTTACTGAAAAGCAAATCACTTGATTTAATATTCACGATATAAGAAGTGGGACTTACCATCACATTAAAGTTGTTATGTAAGCAATTCTATCTTTACATTCATTTCCATTATTATGAATGTTAAAATTCGTAGTGAAAATTTTACATAATTTGCATGTATATTTAAAATTTTGATTATCCTAACCTAAATTCTTAACCTACATACTTAACCTAAATTCTTAACCTAATAAATTTTGTAAACTATATCTAGGCCAAAAAAAAATATATATGAAAAACTTAAGAAATTTATTAGGGATATCAAAATTATTTAAATTTCTTGGCCAACTTTATGTAAATTCAATAATTGTACTGTAAAATTTTTCATTTTGACATTTAAAAATAATTAAATCAAAATAATAATTAAAAAATTTTTTTTTAATATATGTATATATGTATAAAAAGGCTTTATGAGCTGCGATTGGTACCATTGAATGAGTTTTATATGAACTGAGAGTGATAATATGCCTGTCTTCACTCCATATTCAATGCAGAACAAAAGATATTAAAGGTTTGTAACTCAGCAGTACCAACACCATTTTTGGTGATCCGATGATTAAGATTTCATTCAGTCGGTAACTGAGGTATGTGAGATATCTGAGGCATCAGTGGCACATTACTTATAGATTTAGCAGCCAAAGAAAGGAATATAACATACGGTGAGTAAAATAAGCAGCATCAAAATACAACTTTAAATGATCTAGAAGTAAAACTACAAATTCAACAACTGTGGCAACAAAGATGGAATGCAGAAACAAAAGGAAGATGGACAGCAAGATTGATCCCAGATGTGGCGAAATGTTCAGACATGAAAACTGGCGAAGTAAATTCCTTTCTGGTCATGGATATTTTCAAAAATACCTTTTCCGCATTTGCAAAGCAAATGATCCAAAATGTATAACATATACGGAGATGCAGACGAAGACACCACTGAGCACACCATCTTCAAATACAAGAGATGGAAAACCGCAAGAATATCACTTAAAACAATAGTCGGTGAAATAAACGTCGAAAATATCACACCAATAATGATGCTATCTAAAGAAAACTGAACCATCATAGACCAATTTGTTACGACCATACTTAAACAACAAAAATAGGGCCAATTTTAAAAAAGAGAAAAACAAATAAACCTTAGTAAGGCCTGGACGCAGGCTAACGAAGAAAAAATTTTTAATGGAAAACCAACATAGGAACCCTATCTTGAAGTATTCTCGATGAAATTTCAGGATAGAAACAGTCTGATACATACAGGAATTATTTTTAGTCAGTGCAAACCGGCATACCACTATTGTGACGACATAGTGACGATGCGTTATGCATTTTTAAACCTCCTTTTCGCAAAAACAAAAGAAGAAAAGTATGTCCACGTAAAATTTTTAGGCTCCAATATTTTCGAATTTACTTATATATCGATTACGTGTTGTAATGTTCAGTAATCAACACTTTAAAAGGAAAATCGAAAAAAAATATTATCTTAAGTTTAGAAAGGTGTGCTATTGGAAATTATATCTGCGATCGAGTATATGTAGGGTATATAAGAATATAAGAATCTGAAGGGACCATTGAGGATATCAGCTATAGATTTTAGTTTTAACTTTCTCAGTCAAACTATTAATAAACTAAAATTTCAAATATTTAGTGTTGAAAGTTGTTTTTGTTAGAAATTCTTATGCTAAATATGCAATTTATTTATTTTATTTGTTATGTTATTATATTTCAATTTAAATACAAATATTTTCCTTTTAAACATTTTTTTTTTAAATTGTGTTGAGGCTATTTGAGTTAGTGCACTTGAGCATATTTAATCTATATTAACTACGAGGTTTCTTCATAACCCCTCTCTACACTTTGACTGGATTAACTGAATTATTGTTTATCACTTCTTCAGACTAAGCAATAATTGACCTCAGATCGATCTGCATACCTCCCCAAGGAGCCTGTAACCATTCTAAGATTTGATAACGCGTTGTTGGTAAGCCTGTCAGTTTTCGTAAATAATTTCTGGGCTCTATATTTTGTATACTTTGTGTACATAGAGTTGTATGTATTTTTTTATCTGATCAATCTTGAGGTCCCTGAGAACTAAGGGTTCCCAGATCCCTAAAAACTTAAGAGGCTATTAAAGCTAAAGAATCAAAAATTGCATTGATTTGATGGCACAAATACATATTGCATTAAGTTAAGAGAAAAACTAACAAAAGTGATAATTAATTAACTTAATAAGCTAAACAACGTTTAAATCTTTCATTTAAAAATTTAGTAACTTTTCTATAAGGTTTAAGAGGTTGTATAAGGTTGTATATAAGAGGTCTATAAGGTTTTATGTTATATTAAACATTCTTGAATTTTTTTTTATTTTAAAAATATATAAACACAGTTTCGTTAAAGCAATTTGAACGAGTGCAACACTTTACTTTATAGAAGTCTATTTATGATTTAACCCTACTTAAATAATGTGTAGTTATATCATTTTCTGTTTATACGTATATAGATTGAAAATATTACATGTATTGGGTTGATTATATTTTTAACTACAAACAGATCCTACATCTCTGTATATCTCTATATATAAAGGTTTTTTTTAAACATATTGGTATAGTTACATGTCCTTAAAATGTTTTTATTTTGCTATTTTCAAGTTCTAAATATTTTTAAATTTTTCAATAATTAATATTTTAATTGTTTTCAATTTTTTTATATTTGTTTTTAAATTTCCTTAAATCAGCAACAATCAAAATGCTTTGCTTTAATGCCGCCCTTCAAATGCTCAATTCGAAAATTTCCTTTAGTTCTAGAATTACTTCTGCTTGACTACATTTTTTGATTGATTGATTACCCTTTTAACTTAAGGATTCTTCATTCGATTGAGCGAATGTTTGGTCGCGGTCGCATACAGGAAAAAAGTTATGGTATGAAATATTTGTGGTTAATTAATCTGTTCTCACTCAAGGGACAACAATTCAACCCACGCATATTCATTATTATTGCTTTCGGAATGAAAGTCAAATAAATCATTTATAAAGCTTGAATTAAGTGCAAAATTATTTTTTAAACGAAAAGTCATCAATTTCGCTTAAAAGAAAAAACCTTTGCATCACTAAACAATTAAAAAAAAACAATTTTGTTTAAAAAATATGCAAAACAATTGAAAAATAAATTGACTTTGAAAGCTAATACAAAAAGATTTTTAATACTCAATGAACAAAAAAAATTTCTAGCATCAAATTCTAGCATTAAAGAACTCAAGTAGCAAGTAGCTTGTCCAAGAAAATGAGTTCTGAAAACATCAGGATTAAATTAATATTAAAATTTTAGCTTGAAACTGCTCGGGGTTCAACGCTAGTTGCAAAGAACACGAATTCAATTTTTTTAACAATACTAATACTTCCATTAAATAAATTTTGAAGCTCTTAATAAATCAATCGACCCTTATATCATTATCATCATTATCAATATCGTTGAAGTCCTTTCAAACCATAATAGTAATACAATATAAATACATACTTATACTGCCTCAATGAGTGCATCTATTACTGGGCTGTCCAGGCCAGATGCGATCGCAGAAGGGTCGCAGAAAGAAATACAACAAAAATAAAAATACGGTTATAATGTTAAATGTTGGTTTTATTAATTCATTAATTTAAATTTATTTCTTTCGTACACCATAAAAATAAAATAATGCAGTTTTATAAGTACGCAAAAAAAAGCTAATACAAAAAGATTTTTAATACTCAATGAACAAAAAAAATTTCTAGCATCAAATTCTAGCATTAAAGAACTCAAGTAGCAAGTAGCTTGTCCAAGAAAATGAGTTCTGAAAACATCAGGATTAAATTAATATTAAAATTTTAGCTTGAAACTGCTCGGGGTTCAACGCTAGTTGCAAAGAACACGAATTCAATTTTTTTAACAATACTAATACTTCCATTAAATAAATTTTGAAGCTCTTAATAAATCAATCGACCCTTATATCATTATCATCATTATCAATATCGTTGAAGTCCTTTCAAACCATAATAGTAATACAATATAAATACATACTTATACTGCCTCAATGAGTGCATCTATTACTGGGCTGTCCAGGCCAGATGCGATCGCAGAAGGGTCGCAGAAAGAAATACAACAAAAATAAAAATACGGTTATAATGTTAAATGTTGGTTTTATTAATTCATTAATTTAAATTTATTTCTTTCGTACACCATAAAAATAAAATAATGCAGTTTTATAAGTACGCAAAAAAAAATTTGCATATTTGTGTTAAATTAAAAACATGTCGTGGGCCGCACAAACATTATCCGCGGCCCGCCGGTCGTACTTTAGATAGCCCTGACTTAAAAGATAAAATATATAAATAGGTGTATTGAAATGCAAATTTCAATAAAATAAATATGCAATGAAAATAAACATATTTATTTGATTATTAGTATACATATAAGTGCAGTGACAACACGCAGTAATATAAAACATTTATACTCATTTCCAATTATAGTCCCTGTAGTTCTGTATATCACGAGAAAATAAAATTCATATTCAGCTCAAAAACGCACTCCGAAGACACAACCAGCTTAGCTGCAAAGTTAAGCTGCTCTGCTATAAGCAACTTATTCGCACCTTACACACCTACGCCTTACGCAATATCTTCCGCCCAAATGGAAAAAATTCGCTTGTTTGAGCGAAAACTTCGTCGGGATTGCACCAACTATATGCGCAAGTCTGACGGCAAGCACTTCCTCATCTCTGTCCTTTACGACAAAGCCAAGATATCAATCGAATTGACGACTACCTTTTGGCCCGTAGGTACATCACCTGGCTCCATGACCTCCCTCCTGACATCTCTATTCCAATTATCCTCCCTAAAGAACTTATTCTAGCCTTGCACTTTAAACCTTCCCAATACCTGTGCCATTACCTCGATGAGTGGGACCGTAACCTCCGTAAATTCGAAACTTTCATTTAACAATTTTACTTTAATAATGTAATCTTGTGTTTATTATTTATAACTTTTTTACTGTAGGGAAGTATTCACCTGGTTTCAATATAATTTCCAAAACCTTTTTTTGAATGCTCTTATTTGACTGAAATCAAACCTCAGATACTCCTATACAAAATCAACATACGAGTAAGAAACTAACAAATAAATTTATTCAAAAAGTGGAGTTAATTGTGAAACAATAACTTAATTAATGTTAAATGTGAAAACTTCAAAATTCTCAAAAA